CCATTCAAAAACTAGGTGGCCTAATGGGCTTTGGAACTTCATGTTTGAACTAGGAACTAAGTCGGTCCGGGTCGGTTTCGGTTTTCTTGTGTGAAAACTGAAACCGACCCGAATCATTGGTTTAGGAATTTGCACAACTCAAAACCGACCCGTGCTGATGAAAACCCGGCCGACTCGGGTTGGGTCGGTCCGGGTTGGTCGGTTTGGTCGGGTTGGGCCTTCTTATGAACAGCCCTAAACTCCATATGAGCTATAGACTGGTATGAAACCAAGTGTAAGACAATTGAAGATTTGGGGTTGTCTAGCACTTGTTAAAAGAACTAGTRCTGACAAATTGGAATCCAAGACCAGTCATTTCCTATTTGTAGGTTACCCCAAAGGCTTTGTAGGTTACTTGTTCTATGATCCAAAAGAGCAAAAAGTGATTTGCAGTCGAAATGCCCACTTCCTAGAGGAAGATTRCATCTTGGATAATCATCACCCAGAAATTGTTCTTAATGAGGAGAGCCCAGGCGTAATGGGAGATGTCCCACCAGCTCCAAAAAATAACCAACCTAGAAGATCTACCCGGGTTTCCAGGCCTCCAGTTCATTACGGCTATGACCAAGAAAGTTACTTGGTGGAAGCCATAACCATTGAGGAAGATCTCATGACTTATTCGAAAGCTATATTAGACATAGATTCCTTAAAGTGGGTAGATGTCATGAGAGCTGAGATGGACTCAATGGAGACCAATGGATTCTAAACTCTAGTAGAGACCTACAAGGCTCATCTTATGGCGAAAGGGTACACTTAGAAAGAGGGAATTGATTATGAGGAAACCTTTTTCGCCTGTGCCTATGCTTAAATCCATTAGGATCCTGTTAGCTGTAGCAACGTACCATGACTACGAGATTTCGCAAACGGATGTCAAAACCGCGTTCCTGAATGGAGATCTTACTGAAAATATCTATATGCAGTAACCTCAAGGTTTTATAGCTACAGGTCAGGAGCACACGGTATGTAAACTCAACCGATCCATATATGGACTTAAGAAAGCTTTTAGGAGTTGGAACATCCGGTTTGACCCTATCGCTAAACAGTTTGAATTTGAGCAAAATCCAGATGAACCCAGTGTTTACAGGAAGACAGTGGGAGATAAGGTTACGTTCTTGGTTCTGTATGTAAATCACATTTTACTCATTGGGAATGATGTAGGAATGTTAACTACGGTGAAAGTGTGGATTTCATAGCAATTCTCCATGAAATATCTTAGAGAAGCCTCCTATATATTGGGTCTTTGATTATATAGAGATAGATCGAAAAGGATAATAGGATTATCCTAGTCTACTTACATTGACAAGATTGTCAAAAGATACAGTATGGAGAACTCTAAGATATATTGTACGATGTGCGGTCACAAAGTTTGCTACCTCTTTTCTAACTTTACAGAGTTTGTATACTTTCAAGGAGCCCTTGCGTGCTTTATTTGTTGGTGATGTGTGGAACAACAGTAAATGGGCTAACAAATCAGATGGACTAAGAGCATCAAGCACTGTTCGTTCTGTTGGGTTTTGGAAAAATGTAAGAGTTGCTCTTTTGGTTGCTCAACCGATTGTGGAGGTTTTGCATTTGGTTGATGGTGATGAAAAACCCACAATGTGTGGAAAAACCCACTATGAAATGGAGCGAACAAGAGAAAAAAATAAAAGAAAATTTTAGTGGGAAAGAAAGGGAATATAAACCCATTTTAGACACTTTTTATAGGCATTGGACTAATATGATGCAACATTCGTTGCACCTTGATGGTTTTTTTCTTAATCCAACCCTTTATTATAAGGCTAAAGCACAAGATRAAGCATCGGTTGGAAAGTTTGAAATGGGCTTTCTAGATTGCATTAAGAGAATGGTCAGTGATATTGAAATTCAAGACAAGATCTCTTATCAGTTGGAAGAGTATAAACATGCTCGTGGTGCTTTGTCTAAAGAATTAGCAATTAGGCAACGCGAAATGAAGCAACCAAGTAATATAAGCTCTCTTTTCTTGAAACTTATATTTTATTTCGGTTATTTTAAATTTATATTGTTTTAATTCATTTTTTTCTATTTTAGCTTATTGGTGGCATAGTTATGGACTTTGCACCCTAAACCTTAGGCGTATTGCATTACGCATATTAAGTCTTATATGCACTTCTTTTGCTTATGAGCGCAACTGGAGCACTTTTGAGCATATAAGTTCTAAGTAATGGACCTAATGTTTGATTTTGTAATAAAATTATTTATGAAAGCTAAGAACTTAAGATGCTTATTTTTATAATTTTTCTTATTTTGTTGTGAATGTAGATTCATACAAAAAAAAAGAGGAATAGGCTTGATCAGAAGAGGCTCAATGATCTTGTATTTGTTCAATACAACCTAATGCTTCCGAGAAAGATTTACAACAAGACGTGCAAATCCAAAGCATTTTGACCCTATTTGCTTTGATAATGTAGATGAAACCAGTGAGTGGTTGACTGGGAAAGACCCCTCAAATGACTTGGTCCATAAAGGGTGTGATCTTATATGAACTCAAGTTGATAAAGTATTAAGAGCATCTAAAATCCTCGAAGGGTGTCGAATAGGCCAAGGAGAAGTGGACATGGACGTGGAAATGCAAGTGGAAGTCCAAGTAGAGGTAGAGGTGGTCGTAGGAGAGGTGAGTCTAGAAGACAAGATAAAGGCAAAAATTGTTCAAGAAGAAGAAGAATAGCAGATATGGGACAATGGTATGGAAGATAATGAAGATGAAGAAGAAGATATTGATATTGAAGAAGATGATGATGATGATGATGATGATGATGATGATGATGATGAGGATGAAAATGTTGATTATGGTGCTAATGATGTTGGTGCATTCAAGGATTGTATTATCTATGATACATTTGAAGTTTTAAACTTTATATTTATTTTTTGTGGAATTGTGGAGAATTGGAGATGAATGATGATTTATAGTTTAGTTTTATACTTATTCATTATATGCTATTATGCTTTTTTATTTTTTAATGGTTTAATGACTTTAAATTTCATAGTTTCATCTTATTATTTCTTAAAGTACCAAGCATCAACCAAGGTATGCATTGAATTCTTATGAATATTTTTTGTTGTAGTGCTTCTTCCATTTATTAATGATAAGGTTGATTTTTTATTGATTAATTAATTCTTTTAATTTATTTTCTTATTGAAACTAAAGTTGTAGAAAAAAGAATACTCAAGATCAACACTCAATCATCCAAAAGGTATAGTACTATCTACTAGTTTACATTTTTAGTGTTGCCAACTTGGAACTTGCCATGTTAGTCGACTTTTTTAGTGTTGCCAACTTGAAACTTGCCATGTTAATCGACTTTTTCTCTCACTTTACTAGTTTACTTGATTGCATATTTTTTTATCAGCCCACTTGTTTGATTTTTTATTTCTTTTAATTCAAATGTTTAATTTTTATGTTTTCACATGAAAATTATACTTATATGAAAGATTTTATTGATTATGCTTAGTACAATTTGTAGCTGGTAAACAAATATACCTTATAAAATAGTTTAGGTCCTTTAGAAAGTATAGAAATCTATAAATTAATATATTTATAGATTCCATCACCTAGGCGTCGCCTAGGTGGCTAGGCGCCTGGGCGCCCCATGGTCCCCTAGCCTCACCTAATCGCCTTGACAACTATGGTTTTATATTTTTTAACTTTTTAAATAATTAATAATTATTCATATTTTATATACCACTTCTAATAAATTTTTACAAAAATAAAATAATTAATTTCTGTTAGGTTTATTCATCAAACTGGTGCAACCGACAAACCCAATCAACTCAACCCGAGTTCGTTGGTTTTCTAGTATTTTAGGTCGACTTTGGTTCAAAAATTTCCTAATTCAACCAAGTTATTATTTAAAATATTTAATGCTTTAAATACTTAAATAATATGTAAAATATTTAAATTTTAAAATATTAATTATTTATCRAATTTAATTATCCATAAAATCATAATTTATACTACTATTACATAATTTCATTATTGATTTTCTAATATATTAAATTATAATTAATTTCAATATTATGTTATAATTATTTTTCTACTTTGAAGAGTTTTTTTTTAATTTATTACATAATTTCGTTATTTTAACTATTTAAAATCTAGTTATG